CAGCAAAGGGACCATACGACTTCAGATTAAGGAACAGTGTCTGGAGAAGAACAAGAAATGCGCTCTGGAGAAGCTTTGTTTAACCCCAAATATCTGCTCCAGATCTTATCTCCAGAACCTTCCAAATTGCAGTACAAAACATGAAACATGCATTACAGTCCTCTTAGATGCTTGTCCCTTGTTAGTGTCACTTTCCTTAATGAACTTGGGTGAAACTCATCTGGAGGTCAGGGCAGGGAAAGAGTAACAAACTGGACAGGCAAACACTGTAAATTAAGAGAGCCAGACCAAACATGGGACACTTTTGGACTGTGACTTCTCATGCAAAGAATCTTGTGACAGTGAACCCCAGGGTAAAGAGAAGAGTAGCTTCTCCCAGAATACTCCTGTGCTGCAGATTGGAAGCCAGCACTCTGGGCTGCTGTCAGCTCTGGCCACAGGAAGGAGTCCATCCCAGAAAGCACGGAAGTGCTAGTAGGAGCTTTCCAGAGGAAAGAGAAGGAAAACACACAAATGGATAACATAGGAGCAGAGTCAGAAGAAAAAGGGAGGCCTGGAATTTTGCAGTGACTTCAGCAAAGGTGCGGAGGCAACCAAGCCATTTTCAGAACAGAAGACGGCCTGTTCTGCTTCCTTTCTTTCTCCCTGCTGCAGTCAAGAGCAGTTGCATCTCTTATCAATAGACAGAAGCCTCTAGTTAGACCCTACTTAGTAGAGCCAGTATGGACCTCCTGAACCTTATTTGGATCAAACAGAAAAGGACCAGCCTGCAAGACACTGAAGAAGCAGGAAGGACTTCTCTCACCTGACCCTCCAAATATGAGGTCTATGGGATCTATACATGCTCCCAGATGCAAACTTGTTCTCATGTGAAGAAAAAGAATGAGAGAGAGACTAAGCAACATTGCTAACCCAGGAGGAATGCCTCTTTGCACTGTAATAGCAAACCCACAACTAAGCATTGAATTCAGGTTGCAGAAGAAAGCAAGCGAAGGATTGTCTCCTAGAAAGCATGTAACTGAGCAGCCACAACGCTGCCTCCCCAAGTTGTCCAAAACCAACACTGGAGCTAAAATGCAGCATTCTCACTGCTACATATGCTGCAAGGTAACGTGCATACCATAGATTACAGGATGCGCTGATAATCAGTCGCCAGATGTTCAAAACCAAATTACTGAAGTCATATTTACCATACTAAGAACCAATGTCAAGGATGATCATGTAATCCATAAAAGGCTTTAAAATCAATATTTTGTAAATTGGAATGGAAACGCACAAACAAGGATAGTAACATGCCAAACATTTTAGGGCACAGTCAGACAGATCATCCTAGTGTCAAACACACAGCTGGTGACAACCTCATTGTCACAAAGTCACTTGAGAGTCATACTGATTTATTTTATTCAAAATATTTTAAAGCTACTTTCCCCAGTGTTCAAGAAGGCATGTTATCACATAGATATACGTATTCAATAAAAATGCAAGTATAACAAAACTTCCAACAACAAACGTGAGCAAGAAAAATATCAAGGAAGCACAGGAATTTGGCAGCATCCAGCTTGCCCTCCAAACAACTGTCCAAAGTTCTTCACAAATGAGTACTTAAGATGCAGGAGAAAGGAGCTTGCAGGTTCTACCTGAGGGAGGTCATTCCATGGCAGAAACCCTACTCCATGTAAGCCCTGCTGCCTGGCTGCAGATGTTCTAAATTCTGACACAGAGGGAACTTTAAACATAGAACATTGAAAATACATTAAACAGCTAGCTAGAGGTGCTGTCTGCAATATGGGGGTTCTAGGATGTGTAGAGATTAAAGTATCAAGTATTAAAGGTTTAAAAATGAAAGCAGAAAGCTGAATTGAGCTTCAGCTCAATTGAGGAAATACATTTGCACAGCATTGGCTGGATATGCCTTTATCTGCCAAAAGACATTCTGTGTTAGCAGTGACGTCTGGACTATTTTCAAAGGAAGCCCCCATATGACACATTCGAAACTCAATGCTTGAAGTACAAAAGCAGGGAGAGCTGCTGTGAGGCTCTGCTTGAGAAATATAGTTGGTATACGGAATTCCATGGATTTTAAGGGATCCTGTACATCGCCCAGTCGGTACATCCAACAGTGACACCAGATCCAGGTGTCCAACCAGGCTTCCAGTGTGGTATAGTGGTTAAGAGTGCCAGACTAGGCACTAGATCTGGGTTCTAATTCCTCCTCAGACAAGAAAGCCACTGGGTGACTTTGGGCCAGTCACAGACTCTCAGCCTAACCCTTACGAGAATAAAATGGAGAGGGAAAGAACCTTGCAATCATCTTAGGTTCCTTTCAAGAGGAAGAAAGACATGGTATACATTCAGTAAGGATACCAGGGCGACTTCTTTTATATTGTTATTTATTTTATATTGTTAATTTTAAATTGTTATTTTTGTATTTTATTGTATTTTATTTGGTGCTGTGAGCCACCCCGAGGCTTCGGCAAGGGGCGGCATAGAAATGTTTTAATAATAAATAAATAAATAAATAAATGATGCTGATAATGATTTGTCCCAGCCCTGCAACATTCCACTTATAATCAGTTGCTTTCTTACTTGTAGAACATCCAGTTCCAAGCAGCAGGCCTGGCCTGGGTAAGGGTTTGGGTTTAGTTTGCTCACTCTCATCCATTTAATCACGGCCTTGAAACACTGGTTCAGACCTAACATTTGCACATCAACATATGGATAACAGGCAACCCGCAAAACTCTGCACAATCTCTCCCAGGAGTTTCCTATACGTGCATTTCTCTGGGGCCAGAGGAAGTTCTGCTGGTAACTACCTCTGAGGTCATCTTAATGAAAAGCAACAAAACCAGTTCAGAGATAAACGGTTAACAGCCTCCAGATGTTTCAAACAGTGGAAAAGATGTCATGATTCATAGTGTCAAATGCTGTGAAAAAGCTTAAGGGAATCAACAGCAAGGCATCCCCACTTCCAGTCACAGATCATCTAGCAGAGTGACTAAGGCCTGAATAAATTGAAGAAAGACACATCATACAAGAAAATCCTGCTCTGTACCAACTTCCTCAGAAAAGAGCTGTTCAAGACTGGCCAAATATTATTTGATATGTTTGGCTTGGAAGGCTCTTACCCCTTTAAAGAGAACAGTGATCCCACTATACTCAAAGGGTGAGTAATTATCTGTACCAACAGATAACCCTGACCATCCTGCCTTAACTGAACATGATGAGCAAACATCCAGGCCACATATGGTGGCCTTCACAACTCCAAGTGGCCTTGGTGGCGATCTCAAGGTTTGGATCTCAAGATCCAAACAAGTGCAGCAAACGGTGCATCATAGCTGAAGGCAGGAGGCTGCTAAGTGGAATGATGCAACACTTCCTCTTTTCTCAGTTAAGATACATCAGGCAGCCAGCAGATCTCTCCCAACACAACTTTATGAAACCAGTCGGGGGAGTCACTTCTATCCAATTTAATAGTTTTAAACGGCCTTTCCCAACTTAGTGCCCTCGTAATATGTTATAGCCCAGAACATTTGGAGGCTGCCAGGTTGTGGAAGGCTGATCTTAAAAAGTAACCAAACTGTGAAATCCAAAGTTGGAGACACTGAGGAGCTGAAGTTACAATGGAAATGACTTGACTTCCAGAAAAGAACGGGGAGGGGAAGAGACTGACAGAAAACACCAGCTGTCTAAGCAGCACAAGCATTTGAGTTACCCAAAACACTATAATCCGCTAAAGAGAAAATTATACAAACCAGTAAGCACACAAAGTAAAGCCTTTAATATTGATTCATGTATTCAATATTTCATGAGCGCCACCTTTCCCCTGAACAACAGAAATGATGCAAGAGGAAATGCTTGGCTGATTTCAGAGAGCTGCAGATCCTGACAGCAGCGTTCTCAGGCTGAGAGCAATGCCACAGTTTAAACAAAAAGGAAGGCTGGGTCCCATTGCCATCTTCTTTATGTGGGGCCTGCAGAAGGTGGAGGGTTGAGGGTAGGGCCTAAACAAACAAGCTGAGGGATATGCACCAGGTGTCTGCAGCAAAGGCCAGGATTCAAAGACTCTGGAAGCTGGTTCTGTATGTCTTAACTGAGACTTGGGCATCTGTTTCTCAATGAACAGCACCCAACAAGGCAGGGAACATTGCTTCTGTAACCAAGAGGAATTTCAGACGTCCTAAGGGATATGACTGGAGAGTTGGCTCTTCTAAAGAGAAAATTACAAAGCAAGAGAAACACTGATCTTCCTTCTTAACCCAAAGCGGACTGAAATAAAATCATCACCCACCTCCAAAGCGAAGCGCAGTGCAGCGCTGATTGTACCACTGAAGGAAAGGTGTTCCACAAACAGCCCCTCGCCTCCTGCCCGCCTCACTAACACAACCAGTGGCCATTCAGGCAGGACATCTGGAGCTCAGCTTCATGCACAGGCACCTTCACATGGGTACAGGCAGGTCTTAAGTGTTCCAGTTCCAAACAATTTAGGGCTTTCAGGGCCAGGACCTGCACTCTGACTATTGCTTAGAAACGAACTGGCAGCAGGACAGCTGAAGCAGGATTAATGTAATATGGTCCAAGTGGAGATGTGCAAGGGATTTGTTAGGGGGTAGAAATCCATCAAATTCTCTGGGCTCAGCTCCCCGGATTCCAGTGCGCTTTGCAAGTTCCTGGTGAGTGTGCCCAAGATTTGTGGGGTTCCTGCCAGGAATCAAGCCCCACACACTGGCCATGCAACACCCCTCTTCCATGACAGTCAATTACTAGCAGCAGCAGGTGGGGAAGGAGCTTGGTCGCCAGGAATAGCACCTGGCACACCTGCTTGCAGCACCTTGCTCCTGGCCTTCATTCATCTGTCTGTCTTAACAAGGGTTACTGTAGCTCCATTGTGGGCACAGTCACTCAAAGAATGCCAATTATCCCTGGCCTAATATTATTTTCCCTAAACATTTAGGAAGAGAACAGTATCTGAGACCATTCCAGCAAACTGAAGTTCAGCTCACCAAACATGTTTCCGATGTGTCCATTCTTAGTGAGAGGTCTCAGTTCATTTTTTCCCATGGCATATTGCTTGTAGTTATCCCAGGCAAATTTCATCATCTGCAAGAAGGACAGACAACTCATGGTTAGCCAGCTCCCAGATTGCTTCATTCATGTCATTTGAGAACTGCTGTGTCAAAAGGAAGTTTTTACATAAAGACCAGATAGAAATCAAAGATGTAGAAAGATACAGAAGGCTCCTTAACACACACAAAATGAGGTACTGTTCTATTGTTCAGTTCTGCACAGTTGTGATCCTCTGTTATCAGCTTGGCCCTGGAAACTCATCTACAAATTACAGACAATATAGCGTTTGACAGGCTACGTGTACCTCCCAATTCTATGGATCCTTATTCCAAGATAGGGTAAATGGAACGCCAAATGTAAACACTGGGAATATAAACACAGACCAACAATCCACCAAGGGACAAAAGGCCTATCTGCATTTGTCATACATACTGTGGATTACAGAAATATGCCTACCAAGCAATGTGGAATGCTTATATTAAACTGTAGGTCTAACTGACGGTAAAACCATTTTGTTTATGACAATAAACTGAAACTGAAAATACACTCAGGGACTGAGCAAAGCCTAGGAGAGTCACTGACACCTCTTCCCCTCCCCTGCCTCTAACAGTTATGGCTGTATTTGTTGTGTGAATATATACTGAAAAACAAGCTAATCTTTGCTTAGAAATACAAAAAAAGATCACTGAAATATAAACTAAGGAGAGCCATCCTGAATTCAACCAATGCTCTGTCCCATCAAGCATGTTCCTTTCCAGAATGACCAACAAGAGAGCTCTGGGAATCTCACAAGCAGGTCATGGAGGACACTGCCCTCCCCTGCTATTCCTTGCGCCACTGCCCAGAACTGTCTTCAGAGACTGAGACTGCATTGAGCTACTGCAGCTAACAGCCACTGGCAGACCTGCCCTTCCACAAGTGAGACGTGAACCTGGACACAGCATTCTATTTAGACACAGAAACTCACAGTAAAAGGGCTTAATCTGAGCCAGGCACTGGGAGCCAGGCAGGCTTTTACTGGGTGCATGGAGGCAGGGCTGCTACCAAATGCCTAGTTCTGCTTGTGTCAGGACTGGGCCTGACATCCAGGGGACGAATGGGCTTTATCTGATGTAATGTGTTGCCCAATGCTGCACTTTTATTTCATTGCAGGACTGTCCTGGGACTTTTAGTGAAGGATGGTATATAAAAGCAATAAATAAATACATAGCAAGGAGTATCAATCTGCTGAAACTACTTTTGTTTTCCTTGCAGAACTGAGATCCTAGCTCTACACAAAGAAGCTTCTGCGCCTGCCTCTCCCATACAGAACTTCTAGGTGCCACTGTGCTGGTGGAATTATGCAATTTCACAAATAGGGAAATACATGTTCTTTTGTTTGTGGGAATAATGCCCTATTTTTCCCATTTAAAACAAACAAACAAAACAAGGAAACCAGTCTTAAAAATCAAAACTGGACCGTTACAACATCAACAATCAAGAGTAGGGAATGACAAACAATTTGTGTAGAAAAGTTCTAATACTAATTCTAGCAGTTTACAATATGTCAGATTCCGGGATGTTTTTAAGCATTTGCAAAGATGTTAGTTTGGAGTATCTCTATTCCAGAGGCTAGCTTCAGTCCAGCAGGAGATAGGAAGCAAGTAAAGTTGCGGCATTTTTTTCAAAACAGAGAAGCTGAAAGCAAGAAATGGGGAAAATGGACTGAAAAACAGACTGGTGGCCAGGCTGGGTATACGCAGCTCATTTTCTCCTCTGGTGAAGTCTGTATTGTTTCAAAAACCATATGACCCAAGGAAACAAAAGGACAGTGTGAAGCAAAGCCTCAGTCAAGACCCTTGTTTGAAAGCTACTGTCTATATTTCATTGAACTGATGTGGTACTTGGCTGGGAGATCCCTGAAAGCTTGTTGCAGAACCCCTGATGAGGTTTCTAAAAGGAGAAGAGTAGAAGGTCAACAGAACACTATTAAAGAAAACTGCAGGTGCTGGAAAGATGAAGATTTCATGACTTCTGAAAAGATTGCTCCTGCCACAGAGCAGCTCCCCAACTTCAAAGCATGTGTGGGTGGGAAGAAATTTCCAAGTAATAATCTCACTGGTCTTCCAGGAAAGACTTGGATTCATGGAAGTCACTGACAGATATGCACATAGGAAACCTTTCTGGACAAGGAAGTGAACATGACAAACATCCATCCCCGAGAGACAAGAATCCCGCTCAGTTGCCAAGCTTTCTCCCAAACAAGGCCTCTCTCTCTCATTTCTTTAAAAAAAAAAATCAACAAGCTAAAGGCTGCCTAGTTCACAGAGCTGCCTCAAGTCACAATTTGCAAAATATTTAGTCCTGAGCAAGTTTACCAAAGTCAAGGGGCAATAAAAATGTGGGCAGGCAAATCAAGGATCCACTGGCCAGATGTAGATATTCTATTTTTGGCATAATTGACACTAGAAACCCACAGCTACATAAGACTACACACTCATGCAAGAACACTTGAATACCATTCCCATCTAGGCCTGCCCAGATTGCATGGAGATTTCCCACCAGAGATGTTGCCCAGGTGATGTGAGACTGCTCATCCAATACCTTCTTCAGACTGTCCATCTCCTTTTGTTTCTAGCACAGGCTCTTTTATTACCCACAATCCTCATCTCCCCGAGCCTCTCCTGCACATTTTTAGCCTCAGAAGAGCCCTTTTAAAGTAGGTTAGACTGGAAGGCAATGGTCAACTGAGAGGCCTGAAGGCAACCAATAAGCTTCATGGACCTGGAGTATTCCCAGTTGCAGCCACACTTCTGCCACTATGCCACACTGGTTTGCCTTTCTCACCACTGTGGCCTCTCCACTTGTGTGAGCTGCTCCATCTTTTCCATCTCCTTCCAAGCAGTTAGGAACAAAAGGTTTTCTTCTGTCTAAGTAATTAAAGCTGACCAACTAGGTTGACTTTGAGATAAAGAAGAATATAGCAGCACTCGCTAACAAAAGACACAAGCAAAGTTAGAAAACTGGCCATTATGGAATGTGGCTTAACAATATGAAGTTGATTCCAAACTGAACACCTCTCCTCCCTTCAAAACAAAAAGAGCTGACTCCAATTTCAAGTTAGATCGTGCTGCTTATGGCCCAATTGGTGGGAACATCTGCATTTCTCAATTGGTCTGCCCTCTCAATGGGATGCCATATGATTGCAGTAATGATGTGACATTCACCCTGACCATTTCCGCTTGCTTAGAATTTCCCCTGAATTTGAAACTGGCCAGTTCTCAGAAGCTGCCTAGTTTATCTCTGGGTCCAGTGTCCTTGGCCTTTTGGATGCAAATTCCAACTCTGCCTCTTCCTCTTCTGTTTCTCAGACTCCAACTCAACCTCTGCAGGCTGTACTATAGAACTGAATTCCTTCATTGTCTTTCTTCCCACATACCAAAATTTTGCAAACTTCACTTTTGTTAATCTAGCAGGAAATTTCTCAGTTTCCCACCCAACACGGAGTGCCTTTTATTCATAAAGAGAAAGATAAAACCTACCTCCAACAACATTTGTGAGACACTGGGCTGGTTCACATGAAATTTTAATCATAGGCTGCATAACCTGCAGGACTTTGTGGTATACTTTGCCTGCCATTTAAAAATGTAAGCCATTCTGGGCACACATGACCTTGGCTTGTTGTGCTGGGACAATTAGGGCTTTGTAGCTTATGTGACGGTTAACCATGGGTTGTTCTAGATTAACGCAAGGGTGATTTACCCCTCTTATAACTTATACCACCTGGGTTCATGAAACATGACAAACCATGATGCAGCTTGCAGATTCAAAATGGTGGACAGCACACCCTGCAAAGGTCAACAAGGGTTTCAGTGACTTAGTATTAAGTACAAACTGATTCAACAGAAGGGGAAGAGCAGCAGTCAACAAATCTGGGCTGGCCTTATTGGCCAACCAGAAGTTTATTTTTCACATAAACTACACATACACATGAGGCAGACAACTGTCCTGAGACTTAAAGAAAGAACAAAGCCAGGGGCAAGTTACAACCTTGGGGAGGGGCAGAAAGCAAGCATGTGTTCCCCAGAAGCTCAAACCTGGAGTGTGGCAGCAGGGCATGTCTTTGGCCCACCACATCCACCACTGGAATGCAGGCCTGAAGAACTTCTTCAGAACCCACTGTCAGGCCCTCAAGCTGAAAGAGCTTTGACACCCCAGCACAAGGTTACAGAGAAAGGAGGAAGAGCCATGCCACTGGTTCCTCCTCACCTGGATTTGTAAGCATCCCCACCTGCCTGTTGCAAGACACTGTAGTGAATAACCAGTGCCGAGTTTGCTTTTTCCTCCTCCACACTCCTTTTCTGTCATGTCTTAATGACATCTGTAATCTGCTCTGGAGAGGTTGTTTTGTTTTGCTTTGTTTTTGCTGAAGCACAGGATAAAAATACTTCAAATAAAGTAAATAAGGATCCTTCTGATTTATTTATCCATGAAGATAAATAAAAATCTCATATTCTTTGACCTGTTCTTATTCTCTGTGTGTTTCAATTCTTTCTCCAGTTGTCCATTTTCCAAACTCAACTTTACTAGCCATCTAGCAAGACCTACTTTCCTACTCTGGAGGAAAAACAGGAGCAGGGGTGGGGGCATGCGTCCTAGATGTTGTGTATGAGTTAGTGCTTGTTGTTTCTTCCTTCTCAGAGAAAATACAAAGACCCATCATCCATCTTCCATAGTAGATTTTCACTGAGCTGGTCATATGGATGTGAGTAAACATGCACAAAACAGACTTATAACGTTTAGGCATCTGGGATGAATAAAAAAAATAAGAAAAGCCATTCAGCTTTCAAGATGCAGTGTGGGATGAATCAGTTCCCCAGAACTCATTAATTCTTGCAGCTTAATGTACTTGCTAGCAAGAACACAACCTCCTGTACATGGTTCCAGAGGAAAAGTCACTCATCTGACTCAGTTTTTTCAAATTCCCTTTTCCCCCAAAGTCAATGCACGGTGTTGTTAACAGACAGCATTTGTTCCGTCTAAGAAGTGAGCTG